AGTTCGTTAACCACAACTTGAATTTCAAGTGTACTGATATTACGTGAAAGAAAATGGTGTCATGAGCTTCCGTAAATTATATATAATTTCACAGCTAAAGTAGATCACACCAGACAAGGATGTAAATTGCTACACACCCCATATATATATGTATATATATATATATATATATATATATGTGTGTGTGTGTGTGTGTGTGTGTGTTTTTGTGTGTGTGTGTGTGTTTGTGTGTATAATTGGGTGGATTTCTTGGAAAGACAATCCTACTTGTAAACAGGCTCTCCACCATTCAATATATACAAACCAAGACCATACTGACATATATATATATATATATATATATATATATATATATATATATATATCTTATCAAGAGCAATCTTTAATCTTTCTCTCTCTCTCTCTCTTTCTATTTATCGTTCACTATGTCACACGCACACATACAGAACAAACACACACACACTGGTATGTTTAATAAGCAATAGCATATTTTAGAAACAGAATAAAGGATTGTTTTATGGTGGGAAATGTTGTTATTATTGGCAGAGGTTAAGTCGTCAATATAAATAGTCATTTTACTTTCAAATATCTCTTCCACTAAATAACAGAGCTATTTTCCATCAAGAAGCGAGTTGAAATAATCATGCAATGCAAACACGTCAGATCTATATGGTAAAAAGTGAATAAAATTTGGGTGAAGAGAAATATACGACTTCAAAATAATTAAATTAAACAAAAATTAAATCGTTATATTTCTTCAAATAGAAACGGCTCATGCTATTTCTTATAATTTTCTTACGAATTTCTTATACTTTTCTTATGATTTTCTTATAATTATCTTATAATTTTCTTTTAATTTTCCTATGATTTTCTTCTAATATCTTATACATTTCTTCTGATATCCTTCTGATTTTCTTATAATTTTCTTACGATTTTCTTATAATTTCTTATTATTTTCTTATGATTACTTTTAATTTCCTTATAATTTTCGCATGAATTTCTTATACTTTTCTCATGATTTTCTTATAATTATCTTATAATGTTCCTATGATTTTCTTATAATTATCTTATGATTTTCTTATAATTGTTTTATAATTTCTTATGAGTTTCTTATGATTTTCTTATAAAAATAAATGGAAATAGATCTAAGAACACGCAGAGGCCATTAAAAGATAAGAATATAGATATCTTTCTCACCCTTTCTCGGACCAGTCTTAACGATTTTCTTATAATTTTCTTATAACTTTCTTAAGATTTTAATTTAATTTTCTGATTTTCTTATGATTTCTTATAATTTCTTGTACTTTTCCTATAATTTTCTTAATTATCTTATTATTTTCTTATGATTTTCCTATAATTATCTTATAATTTTCTTAATTGTCTCATGATTTTCCTATAATCATCTTAAAATTTTCTCATAATTTTCTTATGATTTTCTAATATCTTATACATTTCTGATTTCCTTCTGATTTTTTTTTAATTTTCTTTTAATTCTCTTTTTCCTTATAATTTTTCTTATAATTTTCTTATGATTTTCTTATAATTATCTGTAGTTTAAGGCATACAATTGCGTTCAAAATATATTTATGATCAATTTTTATTTTATTTTTATTTTTTGTGAACTGTTACAAAATACGAAAATGGCGTCAGGCATGTTACATATATCTATAATGGTGTCAATACACGGAGGAAGCATCAACAAGATCCATTTTGTTTCGATACAGTTGCCACACTTCTTCTATGTGTCGTGCCCTTTCAGGACGTAGGCGATCATGGCTCTCCACAATTTCCTGTCCTTTGTAGCACTTAATAAATTTTGTTTTTTATCTCTCCTGAACCTTCTTCCGCCACCATTTACTTAAGCATATTCTTCTTCTTCTATGTGCCCTATCCCTTTCAGGACGTAGGCGATCATGGCTCTCCACAATTTCCTGTTTTTTGTAGCTCTTAATAAACTTTCTCTTTTTGTTATCTCTCCTAAACCTTGTTTTGTCATCCATATACTCAAGCTCATTAGGTTGGTTATGCGTTGTTTTTTTGTTAGAAATTAATTGAATTATCAGCAGAGAACATTGGCCCGAAGAGGCTCAATTAGTCACTAACCTGGAGGTTAGCATCAGCCATGGAGGTTAGCATCTTTGCCGACAATCTTGTACTGCACTTAAGTTCTTTAAACAACTAAGATATCTGGAGGAGGCATGGAACATGGAACTAGAAATAATAAAAGATTCAAGTCAAAATTCCAATCACCTGCGGAAGGCCGGAGAGTAAAACAGCCGAAACTTTGTGAGTATGGCAATAAAGATTAGAACAACTGTCTGAACAATGTAAATAGTTACAATACCTCATCCCAGAAATATAGACAGATATCTTTTTTGAATTTTTACCAAGAATGTCTAAATACATAGCAAAAGTAACAACGGTTAGCCAATCCCTGTCACAGATACCTGCTCAGACACATTTATGTGTGTTCAACACCCACAGAGTCCACCTTTCATTGATGCTGCAACTATACTGAGCGAATATTGTTTCTGGTGGGTGGGGAAACGTATGATATTGCCTGATCAGCAGTCTGAACTATTAGAGAACGCTCATAGCCTCAGTCACAATGACTTGTGTTAGTACCTCCATCGACGTTTTCAGGACAGTTCGGTCTACACAATTTTGCTGACAAGGCTTTGGTCAAGCCGTCGTAATTTTTTTCAAGCGCTTTGCAAGTGTCACCTCCTCTGATCTTGACTTCTACAAATCGGCGATGCTGAGATTCGATCCCTAGTCTCATGGTCAAAAATCGAACGTTTTTAACGATAAGTTCACGAACACAGATATTTTCTCATACACATTCGCATGTACAAAAACACACACACTTTCACACACAGACACATACACGCACAAGAAAAGGAAAGCACGCAACACACTGAGACAAAACAACAGACGCTCTTAAAAAATTTAAGCACACATGAAAATCCTGGGGAATATACAAAAGCCGAGAGAAAGGGGTAAGTAGGCGATAGATCATTGTGTAGTTTTGTGTGGCCAATCCTAGTAATATGATTGTAAAACGTTAGACTTTGAAAATAAACATTAACGCAAGAAAACTTAGCCTTATTTTACAATAAATTCAGAAACATCGTTACAGAATGTATTTTATTCATTTGCCCTAACCCGAAACTCAAACTTACCATAGCGCTTAACCTAAACCTCAAAATATATGACAATAATCTTATTAAATTAAAAACAGCTTGGTTTTTTCTTCTATGTGCTGTGTACCATCAAGATGTTGGCAATCATGGCTCTCCACAATTTCCTGTCCTTTGTAGCTCTTAATAGATCTTGTCTTTTTGTTATCTCTCTTAAACCTTGTTCCGTCATCCATTTACTAAGGCTCATTCTTCTTCTTCTTCTTCTTCTTCTTCTTCTTCTTCTTCTGTGTGCCGTGTCCCTTCAGGACATTGGCGATCATGGCTCTCCACAATTTCCTGTCCTTTGTAACTCTTAATAAATCTTGTCTTTTTGTTCTCTCTTCTAAACCTTGTTCCACCATCCATTTACTCAAGATCATTTTCCCTCTTCTTCTTCTTCTTCTTCTTCTTCTTCTTCTTCTTCTTTTGTGTGCCGTGTCCCTTCAGGACGCAGATGATCATGGCTCTCCACAGTTTCCTGTCCTTTGTAGCTCTTAATAAATCTTGTCTTTTTGTTCTCCCTTCTAAACCTTGTTCCACCATCCATTTACTCAAGATCATTTTCCTCTTCTTCTTCTTCTTCTTCTTCTTCTTCTTCTTCTGTGTGCCGTGTCCCTTCAGGACGCAGATGACCATGGCTCTCCACAGTTTCCTGTCCTTTGTAGCTCTTAATAAATCTTGTCCTTTTGTTCTCTCTTCTAAACCTTGTTCCACCATCGATTTACTCAAGATCATTTTTCCTCTTCTTCTTCTTCTTCTTCTTCTTCTTCTTCTTTGTGCCGTGTCCCTTCAGGACGTAGACGATCATAGCTCTCCACAATTTCCTGTTTTTTGTAGCTCTTAATAAATTTTGTCTTTTTCTTACCTCTCCTAAACCTTGTTCCGACATCCACTTACTTAAGATCATTTTCTTCTTCTATATGACGTGACCCTTCAGGACGTTGATCATGGCTCTCCACAATTTCCTGCCCTTTGAAGCTCTTAATAAATGTTGTTTATCTCCTAAATCTTATTCAGTCATCAATTTGCCAAAGCGCATTCTTCATCTTCTTCTATGTTCCTTGTCCCTTCAGGATGTAGGCGATCATGACTCTCCACAATTTCCTGTCCTTCGTAGCTCTTGATGAATTTTGTCTTTTTGTTATCTCTGCTAAACCTTGTTCTGCCATCCATTTACTTAAGCCCATTTTTCATCTTCCATGTACCGTGTCAGATCAGCAGTAGGCGATCATGGCTCTCCACCACTTCCTGCCTTCGTAGCACTTAACAAATTATCACTCCTAAATCTTGTTCTGCCATCCATTTACTCAAGCTCGTTAAGTAGGTTATACGTTGTTTTTCTGTTTTTCTTGCATTCAATCTGCCCTAGAAATGTTAACCATTGCTTTCTGATGTATAAGCGTCCTTTTTGTTTCCATTTTCTCTCGTCGTTGCTCACATGTTCAGTCCACGGTATTCTCAGCATCCCTCTGTATAACCACATTCCTGTTACTTTGAGTCTTCATCTGTAAGGACATTGTCCAGCATTCGCTGCAATGTAAAAGATTGATATGCCGGAATAACTCAGTATTTTTTTCTTTGTTTCTAATGAAGTTTTCCTGTTTCTTAATACTTTGCTTAGCTTTTGGAAGAATCTGGTAAAAGAGCCTGACAATATGACTTTTAACCAAGACCTTAGATTAAAGCATTGGCTGAGATGTTTTGAAAATAGGTAATTAAGAAAAGAATATATATTTTAAAATAGAATGACTGTCTAATATTTTTATTGCATATATCGATAAATAAATTCCGTTTTTTAATATCAATTTTCTTCTTTAAAAAGATAAATAAAAATAAAGTGTAGTCACATTTTATTCAATTATATATTCGGTATTATTTGTAAGTGGCCTTTTGATGCATATCAAACAGATCATCGAGATAAACAACTTGAGAATTATATATATATATATATATATATATATATATATATATATATACAGAGAGGGGGGCTGATGAACAGACTGAGAATGAGAAAGAGATATGGAAACGGAGAAAGTGAGAAAACATAGTGAGGCATGAAGAGATTGGGATACAGAAATGAAGATAGATAGATAGATAGATAGATAGATAGATAGATAGATAGATAGATAGATAGAAAGACAGATAGATAGATAGATAGATAGATAGATAGATAGATATGAACAGGCAAAGATAGATATGAACAGAGTGATAGATAGATAGATAGATAGATAGATAGATAGATAGATAGATAGATAGATATGAACAGGCTAAGATAGATATGAACAGAGTGATAGATAGATAGATAGATAGATAGATAGATAGATAGATAGATAGATAGATAGATATGAACAGGCTAAGATAGATATGAACAGAGTGATAGATAGATAGATAGATAGATAGATAGATAGATAGATATGAACAGGCTAAGATAGATATGAACAGAGTGATAGATAGATAGATAGATAGATAGATAGATAGATAGATATAGACAGACACACAGATAGATAGATATAAACAGGCTAAGATAGATATGAACAGATGATAGATAGATAGATAGATAGATAGATAGATAGATAGATAGATACAGTTATATATCCGCCATTATTTGTAAATGATTTGTTGCCGCTTATCAAGCAGATCTTCGAAATAAACAGAGCAAGAAATATATATATATATATATATATATATATATATATATATATATATATATATACAGAACGAGAGTGAGAGGGTCCGGTGCATAGACTGAGATTGAGAAAGTGAGAAGATGACAGAGAAATTGTGAGATTATAATATGATATGAAGCGAAAGAAAGACATAAACTAAATGAACAGACCGAAATAAGTATGAACAGATTTTGCATTCCGTAACATCAATCGCTATTTACCAATCATCAAATGAGCACCATTCTTTAGTTCCACCAATTCTGACTTTTACTGCTTGTACTTATTGACTCGAATCATTCACTTTTTAACTCAATGCTCCAAATTTAAAAAAAAATGTCCATTCAAACAGCTTTTTCCAAAGAACTTTATGGAACATCAGGGAACAGGTGCCACGTGATTGTATCCGTGACCTCGTAAATCTTAACCTCTTCAAATCAAAGGTCCAGCTACCCTTCTTCTCAATCTGATGAGTCTATTTAAGTTCTTATGCTAATGTCTTCGTTAATGGCATCTTGCTGTGTTCGGTATGATTCGCCTACGTCCTGAAAGGACACGGTATATAAAAGGTAAGAAAGAAGATAGGATCGACTATCTTCCGGTTCACATTCCTCCCCGGGCTTCTGAGGTTTTATCCCTTGTTTCCTGTTTAGGATTGGGTTTCCGGTTCCTTCTAAAGTCTACTTCAGCTCTATACTTCTAACGTCTCCACCTAAACTCTGAAATGTTATTTATTTATTTTCTTCCTTCAGTAGGAGTAGATAGGTTTTTTGAATAGGAAGATTTATCCCTTGTTTTCTGTTTAGGATTGGGTTTCCGGTTCCTTCTAAAGTCTACTTCAGCTCTATCCTTCTAAACGTCTCCACCTAAACTCTGAAATGTTATTTATTTATTTTCTTCCTTCAGTAGGAGTAGATAGGTTTTTTGAATAGGAGTAGGGTTTATCCCTTGTTTTCTGTTTAGGATTGGGTTTCGTTCCTTCTAAAGTCTACTTCAACTCTATACTTCTAACGTCTCCACCTAAACTCTGAAATGTTATTTATTTATTTTTCTTCCTTCAGTAGGAGTAGATAGGTTTTTTGAATAGGAGTAGAGGTTTATCCCTTGTTTCCTGTTTAGGAGTGGGTTTCCGGTTCCTTCTAAAGTCTACTTCAGCTCTATACTTCTAACGTCTCCACCTAAACTCTGAAATGTTATTGATTTATTTTCTTCCTTCAGTAGGAGTAGATAGGTTTTTTGAATAGGAGTAGAGATTTATCCCTTGTTTTCTGTTTAGGATTGGGTTTCCGGTTCCTTCTAAAGTCTACTTCAGCTCTATACTTCTAACGTCTCCACCTAAACTCTGAAATGTTATTGATTTATTTTCTTCCTTCAGTAGGAGTAGATAGGTTTTTTTTGAATAGGAGTAGAGGTTTATCCCTTGTTTTCTGTTTAGGATTGGGTTTCGGTTCCTTCTAAAGTCTACTTCAGCTCTATACTTCTAACGTCTCCACCTAAACTCTGAAATGTTATTTATTTATTTTCTTCCTTCAGTAGGAGTAGATAGGTTTTTTGAATAGGGTAGAGGTTTATCCCTTGTTTTCTGTTTAGGATTGGGTTTCCGGTTCCTTCTAAAGTTTCTCTATACTTCTAACGTCTCCACCTAAACTCTGAAATGTTATTTATTTATTTTCTTCCTTCAGTAGGAGTAGATAGGTTTTTGAATAGGAGTAGAGGTTTATCCCTTGTTTCCTGTTTAGGAGTGGGTTTCCGGTTCCTTCTAAAGTCTACTTCAGCTATTTATACGTCTACGTCTCCACCTAAACTCTGAAATGTTATTTATTTATTTTCTTCCTTCAGTAGGAGTAGATAGGTTTTTTGAATAGGAGTAGAGGTTTATCCTTGTTTTCTGTTTAGGATTGGGTTTCTGGTTCCTTCTAAAGTCTACTTCAGCTCTATACTTCTAACGTCTCCACCTAAACTCTGAAATGTTATTTATTTATTTTCTTCCTTCAGTAGGAGTAGATAGGTTTTTTTTGAATAGGAGTAGAGGTTTATCCTTGTTTTCTGTTTAATTGGGTTTCGGTTCCTTCTAAAGTCTACTTCAACTCTAGAACGTTTCCACCTAAACTCTGAAATGTTATTTATTTATTTTCTTCCTTCAGTAGGAGTAGATAGGTTTTTGATAGGAGTAGAGATTTATCCTTGTTTTCTGTTTAGGATTGGGTTTCGGTTCCTTCTAAAGTCTACTTCAGCTCTATACTTCTAACGTCTCCACCTAAACTCTGAAATGTTATTTATTTATTTTCTTCCTTCAGTAGGAGTAGATAGGTTTTTTGAATAGGAGTAGAGGTTTATCCCTTGTTTTCTGTTTAGGATTGGGTTTCCGGTTCCTTCTAAAGTCTACTTCAACTCTATACTTCTAACGTCTCCACCTAAACTCTGAAATGTTATTTATTTATTTTCTTCCTTCAGTAGGAGTAGATAGGTTTTTTGAATAGGAGTAGAGGTTTATCCCTTGTTTTCTGTTTAGGATTGGGTTTCCGGTTCCTTCTAAAGTCTACTTCAGCTCTATACTTCTCACGTCTCCACCTAAACTCTGAAATGTTATTTATTTATTTATTTATTTTGTATTCTTCCTCAACAGGAGTAGAGAGATCCACCAATCGCCGGGTTCATACTCCTTCCGGCATTTTGAACAGGAGCTGAGTTTTATGTTTTGTTCTAACAATTGCTGATTACTTTTAAAAAATTTTCTTGCAGTAGTCCCTTTCGTTTTCGTGCCATTATCCACTTGTTAAGGGTTGATTTGATTTAAAAAACAACAATAACAAAAACTGAATCATATATCGCGGTCTACATACATTCACCAATAATTTTTCATTTTTACTTGTTTGTTTTTTGTTTTTTTTCATACAACCGCATCCGTATTGTTTTTATCTTGCAATATATACAAATACTCCTCCAATATTCCTACACAGTTGCAATACTCCTACACAGTTCACTTAACTTACCGACCTTGACATTTACATGCTCTGACCTAATATAGATTCTGTAGAAATGCGTTTGCAGAGGCGTGGGTCTTGTCTTTCCCACAAATGTGGTCAGAAAAACCAAAGCATAGTCTGGAAAGAATTTTTTGAAAACGAAAAGAAAAAAAAATGAAGGACAGAAAGCAAGGAGTAAGAGTATTGTTGCATTAAATTATTCCAGTTTTACCAATTTGTGCAGATTTGCAGTATAAAACACAGATAGGCTCTGTGGTGCTGAATAATAACAAATATGCCTGAGCAAGCGCCTGCAATAGGGATCGGAAAGTCACCTTAGTAGACGGATATCCTCGAATACGGTCTGCATTTGTAAAAATGTCAGAATCTAAGATAAAACGTAGGCAAACAATGTATAAATATAAATATTGCAAAAACAGAGTCTACAAAAACACTTAGTATATAAAAACAGTGTATGAAACAGTCTATAAAAACAAAAAGGAATACCTTAACTTGAAGAGGTCAAGATTATAGTGATTGAGAAAATATCCTGTCGGGAGTCTGTTCCACAAAGCAACAGTTCTTGGGTAGAAGCTGTCCAAATGGAACTTACTTCTTACTATAGGAATAAGAAAGTGAAAGACAACGGTTAATCCTAGACTTGAAGTGGTCAAGACTGTAGTGAATTGGCAAACATCCTGCCGGGAGTCTCTTCCAGTGTGCACCCGTTCTTCGTAAGAGTACCGACTATATGTCTACAATTCATTCCTGCAGTGAATATTGCTGTCACCCCTGTTCGGGTGAATCTGAAATGTATTGAGAGATTCTTGAGAAAACTGAAAGCATCGGCAATATTATCGGTCCTGACCTGGCATCTCGTCTTCAGTCACTTTCCGACCGCCGTGTTGTGGCTTTCCCGTGTCATTTCTATAAATACTTTAAATAATGGTAACTGTTCTCATGAACTTTCCTCTTTGGTACCTAGGTTTCACTTAAGATAAATAGTGGCAACCTTTTTTGTCTTCCATCTTTAAGTATAATCTGTAAAATACAATTCCTTCAAGGAAAAGAGGGTTTACGGCCAGATTGCGTTGAAACATCAATTATCGTACGATCGGCGAACTTAAGCAACATTAAGCCTGGTCAGTAGCTAGATGGGTGACCTCTTGGGAATACCAAGTGCTGTAAGTCTGGATGTGTGGGTGGCATACCATACGGCCACATCACGTAGAAACATTGATTCCCGTATGATTACCGAAGTTAGGCAACGTCGAGCCTGGTCAATACCTAGATGGGTAACTCATTGGGAATGACAGCTGCTGAAAGGTAGGATGTGCTGGTGGTGTAATGGATAAAGAATCGAAATATGAAACCAGAGAACTGTGTTCCAAATACCAGTCGGATTCTTTATATTCCCTTGCGAGCAAATACTCTTCGAGAAGGTAGGAATCTAATTCTTCTCTTCCCCATAACTGATACCGATAAATCATGATTATCTCAGAAAAAAAAAAAAAAATCTAAAAATATCTCCCGGCTTTAAATAACCCGCAAAGGGTTGATAAACCGTAAAAAAAAAAAACAAGCTTGGGAATCACAATGGAGTGTTTACCCGTTGCGTTATTAGCTGTTTCGGGCAAACAGCCGAGTTAGAACGTTCGCCTTATGACCATGAAACCCGGGTTCAAATCTCACCATGGTCAATTGGCTAGGAAGGTGACTTCTTAATGTTATCGGTCTGGAGAGGTTGATCCCAGCGTGCTGCACCTTTCGAAAGTGCCTGAAAACCATACCACAGGTTGACCCCATCCTTGTGAGTGAAATTGGGTCGATGGAACCACTGGGGGAGCCGTCGATAGCTGTGCTAGCACGAAATCACAAGTCATCGTGGCCGAGGGCTTGTGCATGCTGGCCTTGTTCAAATTGTTGATCACGCTAAATAACACGCTCTTTCCTAGAAACTGTAACTAAGGTCTGCTCAGCATAGTTGCAGTACAAACCACAGACGGGCTCTGTGGTGCTGAATAAACACAAATATGCCTGAGCAAGCGTCTGCAATAGGGATTGTCAAGCCGCCCTAGTAAACGGATATCCTCGAATACGAGTGGCCAGCTATACATATATATTAACTGTTTCAAATTTAGAGTTTTCCTTCTCTTAGGCTGGTTGCCAACAAAGGCTAAAACGCATTGTCTACGCTGTAATTTATTCCATAGCTGGCTCTAGGGGTGGACAAGGTAACTAAAATGATACTTGCCTTTCTCAAGTGTATTTGCTGGTATTTGAACACGGTTCGCCTATCCTACTTTTCCGCGCCGATAACCACTACCCTGCCCACAAATCGGTGAAACAATTAAATATACAATTTTACACTGAAAGCATTGACTGCAAATCTATAGAATGTAACTCTAAAATAAACAATTTCACATTTAAGGCGTTAAATCGACAAAGATGCAAGGGGACACTTAAATGGTCTTTTTTACACTGAAATTATTAAATTTACTATTTTGGTTCACTTATGTTAGTTTAGCGGCATATCAACACCTCCATGGGTTATTTAATGCGAAATCTAAATATTTTGAACAGAATTTTATCGCTTCAAATAAACATATTTTGAAAGCCTTCAACTACAGATAAAATGTATTGTTGGCCATTTTGATTTAAGTATATATTGTTGGTTGGTTGATTTTTTAGCGGCATATCAACACGTCTATGGGTTATTTAATGCCGAAATCTAAATATTGTGAATATAATTGTATGCCTTCACTTACAGATAAAATGTATTGATGGTCATTTTGATTTAAGTATGTATTGTTGGTTGGTTGATTTTCTAGCGGCATATCAACATTAAAAAAACGTCTCACTCCAAGCAAGTCTATAACATCACTAGAAAGCAAGCGGTTACAGAGAAGGAGAGCGCGATCTTCAGTCTATTGTTAACTGGAGCAAAGAATGGATTGTTAATTTTAACACCTCCAAAACTAAAGTACTATCCATTAATCAATAGAGAGACCCCTTTTTGCTTTCCATCGTCATGGCTTGTGCTAACACCCAGCTGACTCATTGCGCCTTCTAGGGCTAACAGTCTTGGCGGTGCTCGAAACCGTTCGACTGTCGAACTCTCTGCCTCGGTAGATAGGAACCCGGACGAGCCTTTGCCCTTTGGCAAAGGCTCGTCCGGGGAGGTAGTCAGACCCTGAACCCGTTTATACGGGTTTGAGGGAATATTTTTGGCCGAGCCTACGGGCTCGGAGAACCCACGCTAAACTCAGCCTTGTGCCACATACGACCCACGGGGTGGGGGCGTTAAATATAACGTTCTTGGCTGAAATGAACTGGATTGACTATATTGAATCCATTGCTAGTTCATCTGCTAATAAAGACAATTTTTACCTCCAGAATCTATCCTACATATCTATAAGTCTACCATTCGTCCATACTTAGGATATTGTTGTCACATATGACTCGGTGGTCTTGCTAGTTTTAGTTATCATTATCTGAATTAATTGGGTCATATGTTCTCGAGGATACATGGTCCAGTGACTTGACACAAACAGTTGTGAGTTCAATATCTTGCCACAGCAGAGGTGAACAAAAAACTTGTAGAATTGAGTTAGGAAATAAGTAGAACTGAGATATTCAGAAAAGGCATGGCACGTGGAACTAGAACAATCTACCCCGCTGGACGAAATATAATGTTCGGTTCGAAATTCCAACGTATCTCACCTGAAGAAGGCCGGAGCGTACAACGGCCGAAACGTCATGTGTATGGCGTTAAAAATGTCCGACATCTCTGAAAGAACGACTTCTTTCTATTCACGAGACTGCGTCTCATGAGGGCCTATCACGTGACCGGAAAGTCACAAATCACTCACTTCCTGTGTCCATGTGAGAATTAAGTGTTGTCAGTGGGCTGTCGCCAGCATTGTTGACCGAATTGTTGGGTCGTAGGCTAAATTAATACTACGGATCGGGATTTGGTGTCGCAAATAAATTTATTAGCACCCCCCTCCGCTCCCCTTCCGGCCCCGTGCGGTCAGTATTCGAACCTAGATAAAATACCCCAAAGTTTATGTTACTGATTATCCACAAATAGCTTGTGCTTCCTACCTAGAAAACTGATACAACACAGTCTTCCAGTCTCCAATTTCGCTGCTCAAAACAATAGCAAGATGGACAATCAAGTCGAATATCGTAAGAACGAATTGCGTCAAATAAGCCCCAAAATTATTTCCGTTCATTTTTAACCCTTAAACGTCGGGTATCATTAGTTGATATTTCATTGGCGATCAGTGGATATCATCAATTTAGGTTTCATTAGAGATCATTTTATATTAGGTTGGTGCATAAATATCAGGCGTTTTTCTTGGCGAGTTATTTGTTGATAATAATTGATGTTTTGTTACTTTTTTTTTTACTAAAAGTATTATTTTATTTTCAGGTTATAAAAATGCTTGTCGATAATCAAACGCCCCGGAATAATCATTTAAAAATGTTATTTTTGGATTGTTATGTTTCTTTATTCATAATAAATACAGTTTAACCAACGCCTGATAATTATGCACCAACCTAATAAATATTGGTGATCACCAACAATAGACTTCATTGAATATATCTACAAATCTTATTTCATAAGAGTTTGGTTGTGATCATCAATTGAGGTTTCAATCGAGATCAGTGGATATAAATATTTTGAACGCAATGTTACGCGTTCAATTACATATATTTTGTACACAATTTTACAGTTTCAGATCAAACATATGATTTTAGATATTTTGTTATTAGATTATAAAATGTTTCGTTGTTAATCTTTTATACAAATATATTACTAATCTTTTACTATAAAGGTATATTTTTTATACTTTAAATACGTGTTGAATTGAGTATAGAGAATTAAGAAGACAGAAGATAACGATTGACATTGCATTGAAATTTTTGAAGATCAAAGTTGACTGGAAAGTAAGAAGAGTGAAAGAGAATTAGAAGACTTTAGTGAGGGGAAAGGACAATAAAAGAAGAGGAATTAAGAAGACAGAAGATAACGATTGACATTGCATTGAAATTTTTGAAGATCAAAGTTGACTGGAAAGTAAGAAGAGTGAAAGAGAATTAGTAGACTTTAGTGAGGGGAAAGGACAATAAAAGAAGAGGAATTAAGAAGACAGAAGATAACGATTGACATTGCATTGAAATTTTGGAAGATCAAAGTTGAGTGGAAAGTAAGAAGAGTGAAAGAGAATTAGTAGACTTTAGTGAGGGGAAAGGACAATAAAAGAAGAGGAATTAAGAAGACAGAAGATAACGATTGACATTGCATTGAAATGTTTGAAGATCAAAGTTGAGTGGAAAGTAAGAAGAGTGAAAGAGAATTAGTAGACTTTAGTGAGGGGAAAGGACAATAAAAGAAGAGGAATTAAGAAGACAGAAGATAACGATTGACATTGCATTGAAATGTTTGAAGATCAAAGTTGACTGGAAAGTAAGAAGAGTGAAAGAGAATTAGAAGACTTTAGTGAGGGGAAAGGACAATAAAAGAAGAGCAATTAAGAAGACAGAAGATAACGATTGATATTCATTGAAATTTTTGAAGATCAAAGTTGACTGGAAAGTAAGAAGAGTGAAAGAGAATTAGAAGACTTTAGTGAGGGGAAAGGACAATAAAAGAAGAGCAATTAAGAAGACAGTAGATAACGATTGACATTGTATTGAAATTTTTGAAGTTGACTGGGGAGCAAGAATCTGGAAGAGAGTTCCAGAAGAACTTTTCTTCAAATACTTTCATGGCAACTGCTCCGACGAGCTACTTTCATTCATAACCAAACTTCATGAATTTAAGCGTGCTACTAAGTTGGCATCTCAGTCCCACCCTTTTACTATGGAAACGGTTAAAATGTAGCCGTCTCTTCTACTCCAACAGCTTCTTCTTTCACACTTCCCGACAGTGGAACTCCCTTCCTCTTACTTGCTTCTCTGATAGCTATAATCTCCAAATATTCAAATGTAATGTCAATCGACATCTCCTGATGCCTTGATCTATTCTCTTTTCCAACTCTTTATCCTTTCCTCAATCACGTCTCTTTACACTTGATCCCACCCTCTGTAACCCATTGCGTGCTAGTGGCACTCACGCCTTGCTTGGGGTGAAATATTTATATATATATATATATATATATATATATATATATATATATA